ATTTGGTTAACAAAACCAATCGTACGAGAAATCTAATTAAAAAGGATTTTCATGTAGGTTTCTTTTTTGGAAAGATACTCATGTGGGATTTTGGGAACCGGAATTATGGAATTAAGGAATTTATTGTTACTTCGGTAACAGTACTTCGACAAGAATTTGCGTTTCCCCAAAGTTATTACCCGGCTTAACGTTTGTCAGATGTTAAAAAAATATGGACTCGCCAAACACCCAAAACATACAGATCTCTACAACTATCATAGCAATTTTTTGCTCACCTATTACAAATTCAAGTATTGCCGTCACATCCTTATCACTAATGGATAGCTTGTAGCGTTCTTAGCATCTAGGTTTGGATGTGATGCAAACTTAAGAAATTATTAGAGTATATAACAAACAAGACATTTTTTATTATTACTCACCTAACCCCAAGGACCAATTATCGAAGTCAACAACACGAAGTAACATATTGGTTACTAATGAGTCAGTCCGAGACCTGCATTCTTGACGATTTCGTGTAGTTTTTCAATGAATATTTGACATGTCCGTCCGAAATTCCGTCAATCGTGTCAACATCGAAAGCTGGATCGCTAAACATACGGAGATTGATTTCGGGAGAACGTATGGTTCCGGAAAGTCGTGACTACACAATATTAAAGTATAAGTATACGTTTGCTAAGAGGATTGTTTACACAACTGAGTTCTTATCTTCAACATCAATTATGATCTCGTTCTCGGAAGCCGATCGGAAGGTCGTTCTTAGTGCTTCCAAATCTTCTTCAACGGACTTAGCTGCAAAAGAAGGGGATCCTTTAAGCCATAGCTGGAACCAGAACTGAGCCTAAGATTACTGGTGGCGCCCACAAGCTTCGATTCTTGTCTGGCAAGGCGTTTGGGTTGCCGACAGGTGGCAGAAGAGCTCGCACTTTTCGTTTCTTTGAAGGAGGCATCGAATCAAGAGATTATTGTAACACAGTACGACAAAAAAAAAGGATCTAAGCTATAATCGTTTTTTATTGCATATTGTCAATATGATTCATATAGGTTATACGAGAGTGAGAAACAAAAAAGTAAAATACGCCCTTTTAAACGATTTCGCAAGCTACTGTATCATTTGAAAATGGTTGTAAAAATAAAAATAATTATATATATTAATATACAAAAAATATTTATTAATTGAAGTGAAATTTCAGTATATAAAAATATTTTCAATTTTATTAACTGAATACTTTTAATATTCAAAAAATTATATCTTTGCTTTTAAAGCTCCATGCGAGTGAGCTCGCAAATGGCTTGTGAAGAGCACTATTTACTTTGCAATTAGAGTGGAATTCGTTTTTGTTCAAAAATCTGAAATAAATATATATTAAAATATAAATTATAGTAGAAAAATAAAAATTATTATTAGTAAAATTAATAAAGTTTATATACACACCCCTACAATAAATTACCGGAAATCCAAAAAAAGCATAGTAAAATATCGTAAAATTGAAATTATCTCTCTATAATGAAATTTTTATTTTTATTAGTAAATATGTTTTGTTTTTATTTCAAAATAAAGCAAAGAACCTATATTTTTTTATAGGGTTTTTAAATTTAATTTCAGGAATATTTCGGATTGTAAAGATGGGTACATAAACTTTTTATAATTAAAATTTAATAATTTGAAGTTTTAATTATAAAAAGTTTGTGTAACAATTCGGAATATTCCTGAAATTAAATTTTAAAAATCTATAAAAAATATATGTTGAAATATAGGTTCTTAGCTTTATTTTGATATAAAAACAAAACATATTTACTAATAAAAATAAAAATTTCATTATAGAGAGATAATTTCAATTTTACGATATTTTACTATGTCTTTTTTTGGATTTCCAGTAATTTATTGTAGGGGTGTGTAGATATTTTTATATATTTTATTAATAAATTTTGATAGAATTGCCAATATATCAGAAAAATGGAATTGTTCTATATTTTTATTTTTTTTAATTAAACAAAAAAATCGAAGAGCAATTGATATTATTAAATTTGGTTAATTTGTATTATTTGAAAATTAACGTTAATTGTGTGTTTTTTATACAGTCAACCCTCATTAATATGATGTTCATTACTATGACATCCACATTAGTATGACCAAATTTGGTACAAAAAACTCCAGAATAGCCATGCATTATTCTCTCTCCCCTACATACGTGGTTTATTCCAGTGTTGGTGACCACAAAATTTATTCTGGCAAATTTCGCTTGTCCAATTCTCCTCGTTCATTTCTTAGATATTCTCTTTTTGGGGGTTTAACATTAAATGTTAATCATATGGTGCATAACATCGAAAGTCATCAAACGTTTGTATTTTACAAAATGTATAAACTTATTTACAAAGAAGTAAGTGCAAAATTTAATCCGTGAATATGATGGAATAGGCTCTTTCTGAGAATATTCACGGATTAAATTTTGCATTTACTTCTTAGTATAGATGTTTATATATTTTATAAAACACAAACGTTTTATGCACCATATAATATACGTAATCACCATCATCATTAAATTCGTTAATTTCACTGATGAATCTCGCAATTGTCATGTATTCGATATCCATTATGATCAAAATACATCGAACTGATAATGTCATATTAACAAGAGTTAACTGTATTTATAAAATGTATATTAAATAAGAAAAAATTTAAATGGAATACATTCGGGTTATTCGTTTAAAAAAATCACTATATCAAATAAGTACGTAATCAAAATGATCTGATCTATAAGAATTAAATCACATCAAACTCGCTATAACAATAAGTATTATTCCCAAAAAAGAAAGTTTATTAGTTATATTGAAAAACCTATTCTACAAGAGGGTACATTTCATGGTGATAAACCAAGGTCATATGACCTCGATTTTAAGGTCATTGGCAGAAGAGGGTATATCATATGGATCAGTTTTTTAATTTTTGCAAGAATTAATTAATATTAAAACATAAATAACGATAACCAGGATTAAAAGATCTAACCTATGAATGACATCCAGGCATACATGTATAACGTGGAGGATACCGTACCGATACGGTAACGGTAATATAAAAAGTTAGTACTTTTTTTTAAAATAACGATAAGCAAACCTGCTAAAATACCTAAAGAAAACTAACGTTTAACAATTTGAAACCTTTAACTTTAAACTTTGTGTTCACTTTGTCATAACTCTAACACTAATAGAAGTTTTATGTAACCGTGTAACCAAACAAAAGCAATCACATGCGCCAAGAAAAATAACAGATTTTTCATATTGTTTAGCTAATGATTGTGCATATTAAATTGAAAATCTATTGGTATTATTACATTTAAGTCCTTCGAAGCCAACGTCATTTTCATGGGCTCGTTTTGGCATTTTTGACTGTCTTCATCATTGCAGACTTTGATGGAGAGGTTGATCTATCTGGTTTCGATATCATCACGAGTGGTCATTGCATGTTTTTGTTGAAAGCTTTTCAATGGCGTAATATCTAAAAAGTAGTCTCCTAATAATCCTTCTAGTTCTTTGAAACGATTTTCCATCCGTGCAATTCTTTCTTCAGGAGTCAGGGAGCTTTCTTTGCCGTCTCCATTGAAGAGAAGTGGTACATTGTCCATGCGACCAAATCGTTCAACTTCTGATTTTACTAGATAGTGCATTATACCCCTATTATTGTACCATTGGGAAAAAGGCTTAGTATTATAATTTCGTTTATTATTATAAATGATATAACAAAACATACCATGGGCGTGTTTTTCTATCACCAAACAACACGATATATATTATACAAATAGCGCCTAGAATAGTCGAGAAAAGAATTTATTTATTTTTAATTCGATATGTATCTCGCAAATACAGGTGGATTTAAGTACTTACTAAAACCGCCACCAGCCACTCCAAGAGCGCTAAACAAGTTTCGTACTCTGTAATAATATAATACAATAAAATTAATTTGATATACATGTATATAAAAAAATAAATTCTCTAGGATTCTTACCGTTTTTCTGTTTGAACTTGCTGTAAATAACTTCCAACTGTTAATTGGAAAAATCCAGTGTCTGTGTCGTCAGTGAAATTAGGGTTATTATGTAATGGAAAATATTGTGTGTAGGCAGTTAAGGTCGTAATATTTATGTAGTTTGGAATTAGGCCGAGTAAACTTTTAAAATCTCCGGATGGAATTTCACGATATACTGATTTTGTCATTTTAACCTATAACGATAACGATAACGATAATATCAATATGCATCAAAATGTATGAATAAATAAACCATAAACAGAAAAAAGATCCTTACTACTGTTGAGAAATTTTGAATTCCCGCGAAATTGTTTAATTGAAGCCGAAGATTATCTGTAGCCGATTTTCCCTAAAATGATAATGTAAATTCATTATTATTATTATTATTATTATCATATCCAAATTTAATAATGAAATAAAACAATAGAAAAATGTTAACGTTAAATAAATTACCATCTTACTATCACGAACTTTACCAGTAAGTGGATCAAAAGATGGATCTAAGAGTTGAACCTAAATTCGAATATAATCAAGACATATTTCATCATCGTAAAACCTGCAACAATAAAAGAAATTTCACTTACTGCTACAGCCGGAACACTTAACGAAGCTTTTTCAGCTCCGGTCAAATTCAAAATCTTAAAATAAACAATTATCTGACGTAGATCGTTACTCTCGTCCGAGAAGAGAAGTGATTTGTTACTCATAAATACATAACAATAACTTAGATCAGCAACAGGTTTCTGATACAAGTATGAGACACCATCGTCCTGTCGTATACAATCCGGATTAATCGTTTTCGACCAATCTTTTTTCGTGAAATCACAACGAGTAATTTTTATGTCACTTCCGTAGCCACAAATTTCTATGTCTATTTTGAAAGAATAATTAACTTTCATTTTTATCAAAAGATAAATATTATTTTAAAATACTCACTTGGCACTTCAATAGATGATAATTTCTCATTTGCAATTTGAATCACCGCTTTATCACTCCAAATTTGAAAGCATAGGAATAATACATATGATAAAGTCATAAGTAATACTATTGTAGCCGTCACTATTCTTATAATATGGAACTTTTTAGGTTCCTTATACTAATAATGATCATTTTTCAAAAGATTATTTGTCAAAGATTAAAAGCGACGAATACCAAAAATATGATAACAATAGAATAATCGTTTACCAAATTACGATTTGTCCTAAACATATAAAACATGATTAATTTTTGTTATCTTATTAACGTTAAAAAAAAAATCGTCGTTGCCGTTACGTTAAAAAACAGGACGAACTCTATCAACGTAACAAATAAATACAAAAAAAAATAATTATGCGGGTGGACTGCACAAACCACAAATAAAGCGTTTCTTTAATCTAATTTTATTGTACAATCATCGGTTCACACGGATAAAAATAAAATGTGATGACAAATGAAATGGTTTATTGTTATTCTATTTTAAATATAATAACACGCTATATTTATCGTTATCTTAATCGTTATGTCCAAATTAATCTACGTATAGTGGAGGACACCATAAATTATCCACTAGGTGGAATTTTTAAAGGGTGAAACAAGAAAACCCTCTTTAGCTGGGTCAAATGGCTACAATTGGCTAAAGAGGATTTTGTTTCGCGAGTTATAACTCTGTCTCTTGTAAATGTGTTCGCTTTTTTAAATTATCCGAAAGCCGGCTGGTACATGTATGTACACTGTATTTGTATCACAAATTATAAAATTCCAAAATAGTGATTATCGTACATGTACTTTGCCATATACGTACATGTACTTTGCCATATACGTACATGTATAAGCAACCTGTGACATTTGATGTTATTATCGAGATGTTACGTAGTCCATATCGATATATCGAAAAAATAAATACATGAAAACATGAGATCGGTGAAGATTTTGTGTTACATATTATATCTTAATGTTAAGCATGTCTGAATATGTTGCTATACTAAGTGGCACAGCCAACTGTAACACTGTACGTAATAGTCGAATAATCTTGACTGTGCCACAGTAAATGAACAACAAAATTGACAAGTTTTTTTTCGCATATTCAACTTTTTGCTCTTTCACCTTTTTTTAATTAATTATATTTTCATTATTAATTTTTTAAAAGACAAACAATTTCCGTTTATTTAATATTTTATAAATAAAACTTAAAATTTATAAACTTATTTACATTGTAAAAAACATTGAATTAAAACGCGTAGATTAAAATTTTATTTTTCGCCTTACAAATATATAAAAAGAATTCTAAATAAATACATACCTTCGATCCTCAATTTGGCTGATTTTTTAATACATTACAGCTTAAATTATGGTTCTTTTTGGCCGTTTTCTTCTTTTTTCGAGCAGGGATGACATTAGGATCCAGATTTTCCTTTCCTCCAGAGACAACAGCAGGTAATTTTCGCTTTCCACCACCAGATCTTTCTGTTTTTCGTCTTTTAACGGATTCAACTTGAACATGGATCATTGAACCACTCTTAACATGGACTGTTGGATCTAACTCGTGATTAAGATCGTAAAGAAATGAGCATAATCTTGGGATAGATCTTGATTTGGCGGCATCTTGAGATGGAGGATGTTTTCATAAATATATAACACTAAAGATAAAGAGTGATTATCTTTAAATAAATTTAATAATTCCTTATGAACTTCCTTATCAATATGCTGAAAACTTAGCAACTTCACGGAATTAATAACATGATTGTGTGTGAATACCATGTTTATTTCTAACAAAAGATTGAGTGGAAGTCTTCGATTCTTCAATCGAAGATGAATGGTTGCAGTATAATCAATATTTCATGCTCAGGATGATTGTGAACATTTTGTTTCGTGATGACCCTGCCTTTTCTTTACTTGTTTGTTATGGATACAATGGCATAGTTCTCAAAAAATCACTCAGTTTCCATTGATTTTGAAGCCCTTTGTTTCTGCCATTGTTGTTTTTGACCAGAATTGAAATTCTGTAAACCATTCGCGTGCTCCTTTACTATTAACATCCACAAACATGTTCAATTTGAAATTTTGAATCTCAAAATTCTCCTGTGTTCAGCATGGTGGCAATCATTGAAATTTTGTATTAGATATGTATAATTCTGAGAAAGGATCAGTTTCAAAACCTCTGGTAGTGAATTCCACGAAGATATCTAAAAATGAATACAATAATAAATCAATGCTAATAACAATAAATGCTTTATAATAAATTAATCAATAAATAAACGCTTTATAATAAATAAATAAATCAATAAATAAATGCTTTATATTAATAATTAATACAATAAATTAATGCTTTTGGTATGAATTAAATAAATTATATTATTATACTTTTTAATAAATTAAATAATACAATAAATAATATACAATAAATAAATTCTATACAATGTACCGTATTGTAAATTTTACATAATAACAAACTCTATCAGTCTATATACTATAGTTTTTACCCAAAATCTCAGTTTTTGATTTTTTTATTATAGAATATTTTCTCGATAATAAAAAATGTGCAAAATTAACTAACCTGTGGTGAATTTTTTGTGGTGTCCATACTTGTTTTGCTTGTTTCACAATTCACGAAAAGTTGTATAACTTTTAAAAAACTTAAAATTTAATGAATAGAAATACTTGCTAATATTAAAGTATTTAAATAAACGTTAAGAAGGCCACCACACTTTCATATAATAAAAATGAAGAAAGCAATTGTTCTGCTTGGGAAGAGAGCGCGTGGGGGGAAAAAAGCGAAAATAAATCAGAGAAATAATAGGAGATATTATGCGACACGAATCATCGGCATAACCTGGCACACATTTCAAACATGCTAACGTTAAAGAGTGTTACGTATATGTAAACCGCATTTTCGAAAATTGAATCATAATCTTATCAAGTTAGTCTCTTTTAAGCCGCAACATACATTAAAAACAAATTGTTTTACAAAGTATAAGGACACTGTGATCTCCGAAAATAATGAACAAATACGGTACTATAAAATTTTTCATTAATACAATGACCTTTTATGTAATAATTAAGCTTGTTTGCCGTGTTGAAATCTATAACACAGTGACATTTTGGACACAAATGATTATTTTACAAGCTTCGAGAGGTCAACCAAATTTTCCAAAACTTCATGAAATTGATCAGATGTTGATGTTCATCAGATAGTTAATCTCGAAATTTGATTCATTGGGTCATGAGCTATCGATATCGTGCAACGAATCGAGTTTGATGATTATTTTCCGAATCTAGATTTTTTTAAAATTTAATATATATTTTGTAATTTGTACGTCTGTATAAATTCAACAAAAAATTTACGGTTTGCACAATATCTCGTGAACTAATAAACCGAATTTGCTGAAATTTTGAGAATATTGCGACCACGAAGTTTTGGAAAAGTTCGTTAATCTTTCGAAAATCAATTTACTACCGCTATGTTATAGATTTCAATACTCAAAATAAAAAAGGATCTTACCCTACACAAGTTTTCCCATGTGATGGTGATGGTATTTTTTAGGAGGAAAATGCAACAGCCGTTCGCAAGGCTTCTGGAATCAAGACATTAATTATTTTAGCCTCCACAAAGTCCAGATTTGAACCCCACAGAAAATTTATGTCATGGAGTGAAAGACGCTGTACGCCGACGATCCCCTGCACCATAGGATCTTGCAATCGAATACTATCGAAAGCTTATTTATAGTATGCTCGATCGAATTGCCATGGTTAATGCTTGCAAATGGATATAAAAGATATACAGAAGTATACGACCATCCGTCATTATCCAAAATTATACTATAACGATCATCCAAATTTTCTGGGCGTTAAATTAATACGACACCTGATCGCTTGTATATTTATATATTGTTAGAGCTTCCATATTTTATGTTCATAAACTTTCATACCCCAAATACAATAATCGGTTGCTTTAGGGCATAATATTTCAATATCCAAGAATCTAATTCTTGATATCCAGTGATCAAATCTGAACAAAAATACTACTATTCAATTTGTCTCAATTAGATGAATTGAATGGTGATAATTTCACTCAAATTGGATCACTGGATGTCAAAAATTACTATTTTTTATCTATCTTCTAACAAAAAATATAATGATTTTTTTGACGTTCCATTTAATATGACCAAATATACTAGTGAATGGAAGGCTATAAAAGCTAAGTACAACTGCTTTGGAATTCTCATTTACTGTAAATAAATACATTTCCATACCACGCAACAAATATTAATTGAATTTCACAAGAAAAACGTGCCCGAATACACGCCCTCCGACAGGAAGGATATTCGATCCGGGAAATTGCAGCATCAGAGAAGGTGGGTTTAACTTTCGTCCATAGAATATATCATAAGAAAGAAGAGACCGGAAGTTTCGATGACAAGCCAAACTCGGTCGCCCACTAACCCTCTCAATGTGTTACAAACAAAATGCTTTGCGATTAATTTACTCTGGAAAATGCACCGCCATTGAAGTCCAACGTGAGTTTAAAAATGAGTTGGGGTTAACCTTTCAGTGGAGAGCATACGACGTATGTTCCGAAGAAATGGCTTATCCACAAGGATCAAGCAAAAAAAACCTTATCTCAAAAAAACACATAGAAAACAAGATTGGCGCGGGCAAAGAAATATCAAAGTTAGACAACTGACGATTGGTGGCGCGTGATTTTTTTTGACAAAAGCAAGTACCAAATTTTTGGATCAGACGGCCGAAAATATTGCTGGAATAAACCCGTCAAACCATTGAAAAACCATATCACGCCAACTGTGAAATTTGATGGCAGTTCAATTATAGTTTGGGGTTGCGTGACAGCTGACAGCGTTGGCGAGTTGCAAAAAATGGACGTAATAATGAATGCAGATGTTTATATAGACATACTGAAGAATAATTTTTAGGAACGGTCTGGGAGAAAATACTGGAGAATAGTGAGTTTATCTTTCAGCAAGATAATCAAAACATACCTCCGGAAAAGCAAAAAAATGGTTTGCTGATAATGACATTGCTTTGCTTGACTGGTCACCCCGT